TACAAATATTTTGATGTTGTGCTGGCCCCTGGTTTGGTTTTGTATCCAGCCCTTGGCTTAATTGAATGAGTGCAGTTTCTATTTGATTGTTTATGTTCCTTCACTAAAGCTTGTCTAGTGTTTGGGTATGGGGAGCTTTATTATCACTTTATGAAGTGGTTGGCTGATGTCTGAGTAATACCACCATTATTAACCCCTTAAGGACACATGACATGTCATGATTCCCTTTTATTCCAGAAGTTTGGTCCTTAAGGGGTTAAAGATGACGAAAGACAGAAGAGATATCCAAAACAGATCCCCATCTCTGCACACTTCATCACCACCTCACTAAGAAAGAATCCAATTCCAGGTACATTGCAAACACCCTCCCCCTCGTAAGTAGTCAAATAGTTTTAGAACTCTCTCAATTAGCTGTGATACTGCAGGGCCATGATCTATACGCTAAAACTGTTTAAGCTAAAGTTGTTTTGGTGCCTATAGTGTCTTTAAAAGTAGAAATTATATATGTAAAATATAAAGTTGTACTGTTTAAAGGGAAAATAAAAATCATAACCAGTACAAATAATGGTGCAAGAGGTCTTATGGCGCCATATCGGTTTTAATAAAACAATTTGAGTAGTTTATAACGAGTCTGCTCCCAGTACTCAAATCCCAGCTCACCAGATGCCAATATGAAAATATGGACGTTTTATTTTCACATTATCCATACCTTGGATGGAAATGAGCCCAGAACTTGCATTCTATTACTGCTGTCCAAGCTAGTATAGCACCAGGTTAAAAAATAAAATAAAAACATTGCCATACAAACAACTGAACAATTTAAACAGTCTATTACTTGCAAGTTTCCCTCTCCAGCGACATATCTGCTTACAAGTATTCTCCTCTTCCCTCTGCCCAAGCGAATAATGCCTCTAGGAGCCTTGCCATTTTGGTACTCTTAGTGAGAATACAAGACAAGGATCTTTGGAAGGATCTTACGCATATACAATTGCATGCATCTGTTGTACACTGTGTAATTACATGCCTTTTCTCCCACTCAGTTGTGATTTACAGTTTACACTTAAACAAAAAAACAACAGCTTTTTGATACAGAACACAATAAAAAAAAAAAAGTATAGAAATCCAATTTGATGAAGTAGCAGGTAAATCTAGGGGTGAATTACTGTCATATAATGATAATAATAATAATAATAATAATAATAATAAAAGTACTGAAAACCCCAGTGAGGAACAAATTATGTTTGTATCTGATTTTAATTCTCAAAGTTAGGTTTTTAAAAAGGTTTTAACCAAACACTGGCACATTCCAAGTCAAAATGAAGATTTACATCAATATATAGGTGAGACCTAGGATGGTATATAGAGGTGCAAGAAATGTTAGACAAATTCTAACGAAAAGCTGTGTCCTAAAAGAATGTAAGGATGTAGATCTGTTTGGCACCCAATTAAAAGGTTTCCATAATTGTGATTGTAAAGCTTTTAAAGAGACTAATGTCAAAAATAAAAAAACTATGGATTTTACCTCTAGAATTACTGAGAAAACGTATGATGTAGATTCTATTACTAACAATGTGAACTATCTTCTGTCTTGTCAGTGTGAACTACAATACGTAGGCAGAACTAAAAGACCTTTAAAAACAAGAACTAGAGAACACATGAGCAATATTAAGAAACATTTTTTTAAACCAAGGCTTGACAAATTTGCTTGGAATCTAGGAGCCAGCAAATAAAGTTAGAAGCCAGGCTTTTCAATATGAAATATGCAATTCTTAAAGCGATGCTATAGCCACCAGAACCACTACAAGCTTAATGCAGTGGTTCCCAAACTTTTTAAGTTCCAAGGCACCCCAAGTCAAAATGTCTGGGTTGCATATCTGTACAGTGCTGCCGCATTTATTGGCGCTACAGTATAATGTACAGTATTGGTGTTAGAAGGGGTGAATGTATACATTTATTGTGTTTATATAAAGGGGTGTGTTTGTATGTGATGTTTGCATTTGATTTCAGGGGTGTGTCTGAATGTAATGTTAACTTTTAAATGTCGATGTACATTTGTGTGAGTATTTGTGTTTGAGTGAAGGGGTGCGTTTGTATTTTTTTTAATGCAGGGGTGTGTTTGTATGTAATATTTGTGTTAGATTGCAGGAGTTTGCTTGTATGTTGTGCTGGTGTTTGACTGCTTGGATGTATGCACATTCATACTTAAACAGATATTCATGCACATTAACACACAGATGCATATAAATCCACCAATTTGATAAAGCCTGTATGGCGAAACGCGTTATTGGTTTTAATATATTGTACTAATAAATTATTTTACATATATTACCTTTTTATACTATTTTATTTCTATTTACTGTTCCTGGCATATCCTAAAGTGGGGATTATACCACCCACGCGATTAACAGAGTGCAGTAAGACCTGCACTCTACCTGTGAGTATATTTTATTCTTTTATGCAAACTACCTCACCGGAGAGCACTATTGGCTGTTTTTATTTCTTTTTATGAGAATTGGACACCAGCACTCCCCAGGAGGACAAGTACCCCCATAAGCGGAGGGCAATCCGCTGTGTGCCTATCATACTAGAGCTGGTCCTAGCTCATGGACATGTGAGTGTGTAATTTATATTTTAACTTCACTACTATTTATTTATACACTCTGCACGATTAGTCCTTTCCCATTGTGTCTTTCATATCGTGAGATGGACAACTGCTAACAAAGAAGACACCACACCAGTTGAGACTCCACCTATAACTGGAATTCCTTTACAGAACGTTTTTTACTTGTACCGAACTTTCCTGTTTTACCTATTCCTTGTGGAGCAGCCTTTTCTCTGTTTTTGTGTATACTCTTACTGTAGAGGGTTAGAGGGTGACCCCCTATCAGGTTGCTGCCTTTTATCTTATTTTATCTATTGTTATTATTAGCGCTAACCGTTTTAACTTTCTTTATATAAATCCACCGACACATACACACAAATTCATATAGACACCGACACATACACCCTGACACACACAAACATTGAAACATGCCCACATCATGGCACAGATACACCCTGACATAAAACACACAACCTGACACACAGATGCACACACATTATATATATATATATATATATACACACACACACACAGACACACTCACAAACTCATACACTCACACACATATATACACACATCTCTTCATGCACCTCTCCCTCCCACACTGTCTCCCTGCAGGCAGCTGGGAGAAAGTGACAGGCTGTCACTTCCTCCAAGCTGGCCGACATTACAGGGGCCCGGTCACAGTCTTAAATGACAGCGGCAATCACCCGGGTCCCTGTTGAGCAGTTATGTTTCACCGGTGCTATAATCATATCACCAGAAAAATCTATTCCGCGGCACCCCTGTGTGCATGTTGCTGGGCCCTTGCACACAGTTTGAGAACAGCTGCCTTAATAGTATAGTATACAGCTTAAAGGATCACTATAGGGTCAGGAACACAAACATGTATTCTTGACCCTGTAGTGTTAAAACCACCATCAAGCCTCCCTGTATGCAAGCTTGAAGCTGTAACTTTGCATGCTGATAGACTCAGAAAAACAAACAGTCTGCTGACATCATCAGAAGTGGTAGCCTGATCCAATTACAATGCTTCCCCATAGGATTGGCTGAGACTGACAAGGAGACAGATCAGGGGCAGAGCCAGCATGATTCAAACACAGCCCTGGCCAATCAGCATCTCCTCAAAGAGATGAATTGAATCAAATGAGCCGTCTGCCTCCCTCTCACAGCTCTCCATGAACCGGCCGGCTGCCTCCCTCAGTCAGCAGCCTGCCTCAACCCTTTGTAATCCGACTGCCCGCCTCTGTTCTTAGGCAGCCAGTCATCTTGGGGGCTGAAAAGGCTCACAAATCTGAGGACAAATTTACTGGTCGCCATGGCAACCTGGCGCCTGGGATTTGTCGAGCCCTGATGTAAGGATAGGATTTGTTTTATCTAAGAAATTTGTGAATTTACTCTAATTTGGTGCTTATCTTTCCCTTGACATTTTGGGAGCATTGAAGAATACCACAAGTGGAGGTACCAGGATATTCACATCCCACCTAAAGCTGTTATACTTGAGCCAGTGATACACAGGTTCATGAAAATGTGAGTGGGATACTATAAGAACTATATAATTTTTATCAATTGGCACATGCTATATTTCCTTATTGCGAGCATTCTATTTTTCAAGTCTATAAGGATATTCTCCTCTTTTTGGATATATAAACCTTCTACGGTTTCTTGAGACCTAAAGAATTTTCTGTGGAGAAGGCGTCCGACTTTAAGTTATGCCTTCAGTGTAAACACCTAACTAAAAAACAGGACCACTATATTCTGTCAATTACTCATACCAAAACAAGCAAAACTGGTCCACTAGTAGAGATTAAATATTATCCTACCTCTACCAAATGGTGTCCAATCCACATTCTGGATAAACTAGTGGAATCTCAGCTTACTTCCAACCCTGACTCCCCACTATTGGCCATTCAAGGGAAACCCCTAACCACCAAACAATTCATGCTTTACATCCGTACGTTATTACTCCGGCTAGGTCACAACCCGCATTCATTCTCGGGCCATTCATTCCATATAGGAGCAGCCACAGCTGCCTCCGGAAACCACGTACCAACACATATCATTAAAAATATGGGACGGTGGAAAACATCCGCATACAACAGATACATCCCTAATTCTGAGAAAGAAATAAGATTGGCTTTCTGTGAAATGTCTAAGTAATGTATTGCTTAATAAATATGTCTGTCTTAAAAGAATCGCTTCTTATATTTTTGCCCTCTTTTACAGGTCTAACCCTCACGTCAGTTTCGGCATACCTCAACTGACTTTGCTCTTAGTACATTTGCTCCATATTAAACCATACGTCCACTAAATGTGCCGTACACAAATATATATATATATATATTAGGACCTCGGTTTACAAACGCCTCAGTTAACAACATTTTCGGTTTACAAATGAAAATCCATTGAAAATAATGCCTCAGTTTACAAATTTTTTTTTCGCAATACAAAACAAGTTTCCCCAGGATGCATTGCACCTGGGAGGTTTATAGCACCGCCCCCTGCACGCTGGAGCCTTTGGGTAGCACGTGGCGTCGAGTGTGGAGGTGTTGGAGCGGCTTTTGCATCAAGTTTTGGAGCCATTCTGGAAATAGTTTTCAGTTGTTTTGGGACTTTTTGGTGCATTTCTCAAGCTGTGGAAAGCGGTGTTGTTTGTGTGCCTTTTACTGTGTGTTCTGCATTGTGGGTTGGTTTCCATGCCATCTCATTTTGACTTTTTTCTGACCTCTAGAACGGATTAACTGGTTTTCGGTGCATTCCTATGGGAAACTGCGTTTCGGTTTACAAATGTTTCGCAATAAGAAACGTCCCGGAGAACGCATTAAATTCGTAAACCGAAGTCCCACTGTATATGTGTGTGTGTATACATACATACACACAAACACACACAATTAAGATTTATATTACCTATTAGTGTGCTTTCCACTACTGTGTGTTGTATATCTGGAGGAGTCATTGAGATGGCAGGAGATGGTGAGACAGGGAATCATGTAGATAGGAGAGAAATTGGAGCACTTGCCATTACATGGTTTGTTCATGAGTATATCACAGAGCTCACACACATACAGTACTGTGAAATATACAGTGCACATTACAGTACATCACCAAAGAGCAATAAAATCTCACAGGAATGTGGTGTGATTGTGAGTTAGTTACAACCTTTACTGTACCACCACGAATTCTGAAATGTTCCTCCAACTCTGGAGTCTTTATTCGACCCTAGGTTGAGCTAAAAAGCGCAAAATCAAATTTTGGAATGTTGTACTTTAAGACAATTCCATGGCTGATTCAGACATCAAGGAAATATTTTTAATTGTTCATTGCCAACAGTTATTCGAAGTAAATTTCATACACACAGAAAAAAAAAATGATGGTTAAAGGACCACTATAGTGCCAGGAAAACATACTCGTTTTCCTGGCACTATAGTGGCCTGAGGGTGCCCCCACCCTCAGGTACCCCCTCCCGCCCGGCTCTGGAAAGGGGTTTAAACTTACCTTTTTCCAGCGCTGGGTGGAGAGCTCTCCTACTCCTCTCCTCCTCCGTTCCGCCCCGTCGGCAGAATGCGCACGCGCGGCAAGAGCTGCGCGCGCATTCAGCCGGTCACATAGGAAAGCATTTACAATGCTTTCCTATGGACGCTGGCGTGCTCTCACTGTGAAAATCACAGTGAGAAGCACGCAAGCGCCTCTAGTGGCTGTCAATGAGACAGCCACTAGAGACTTTGGGGGAAGGCTTAACCCACTAATAAACATAGCAGTTTCTCTGAAACTGCTATGTTTATTAAAAAATGGGTTAACCCTAGCTGGACCTGGCACCCAGACCACTTCATTAAGCTGAAGTGGTCTGGGTGCCTAGAGTGGTCCTTTAACAAGGAGAACATAACAGCAGTTGTGTTCGCAAACCCATTTCCACTGAACAGAAGTGAAAAATCTTAAATTAAAAAGGACAATATAAACACTAACAACCTTTATTTCCTACATAGGTTGTGGTCAAGAAGCTAAGCCTCTTTCCATTTATGAATGAGTTGATGTCCTCAGGGGCAGAAAAATGCAAAGTTGGTCCACTAATTTTATGCATAAACCAACATCATTTGGACTTTTTTGAATGTTGTATATTACAATAAACCTACCTTTATTTTGCTACCCATTGTGCAAGTCACTATTATTCCTGAGCTCCTTTTCAATGAGTCCTGAAGTTCTAAGAACTCCTAAACAACTATTGTAAACACAATGATGTCACAGATCATCTTTTTCAAACTGAAGGCTCGAAAACGAGACCCGTAGAATAGTTTGAAAAAAATAAAACCTTGGGTTGGGAAATATCCTACAAGATGGCTGAAGGTCAAGAACAACAAAGTTGAACACTTTTAGATAAGTTATTAATCTGTGACCAAGAACAAAAAAAAACAATGAGGCACTTTTACAAAAATTTATTTTAAGAAACATTCCATTTGCTAGTAATGTTGCAAATATGGTCATTGACCAGACAAAGTCAATGACAAAAAGACAATATGTTCATGATATTTTTGGAATCATGATAGGAAGAGTTTAATTGGGACAGGAAATAAAAAGGTCAGTTCTCAGAAAGGCCAATTTGGAAAATGTATAAAATTATTTGCCACGTGTAATGTTCTTATTGATGTATAAGGCAACCTGTAAATATGTAGCAGGTTCTTCATGTCATATTTGCCTATACCTTACACTAACAGTTTTTTTTAAATCTTTTCTAAAAAAATTTATTTTAAGTCTTTTTTTATTATTTTTTTTTTTTTTTTTAAACACCTAGTAAAATAGCAAAGTAACAAGTCTAACAAATCATCCCCTCTACAACCCTCACTCAGTATCTTACCCACAATGCTTGATCAGCCCAGACAGATCCAAGTTACAGTTTGACAAAGTTTCTGGGGACAACTGAGAATTCCCAAATGAGCAGACCAAATGCATCACTAAAGAAACACTCCCAATCTCCATAACCTCTATAGCGTGCTGTGGTGGTTATGGTGCTAGTAGTGCCCTGGCAGCCCTACATGGAATTAAAGAATATACTGGTTGACAGGCAAAGTAGAGCTTCCTACTCAGCATACCTAACACACACACTGCATTACAAGCAAACCATCTGCCTAAATGCATCTACACTCCGTTTTACACCAATCAACGTTCTCAGATATATTTTAGAGTGTATGTGTACAACTATGGGACATGTAAGGTGCTTAACTTGAGGTAACAGGAGCTGAACCTGAGACTTACTCCTTTAAAACAAGTGCAATGCTTACTCTTAAAAATGTAAAAACCTTTTTTTCTTTTTTATTGCTGACTGCGAGATGCCATTCATTGCATGCAAAAACAGACACACATACATTAGTATTCCATAGCCTGTGGGAAAAGTTAGATTTAAAAATCAGATGAAAAATACAGATTCTACCGCCCCCCCCTCCATCCTCCAATACACATACAAACATTGGGATTGTGAAAATAAGTCCTTGATTCCTTATACAGCTAGCCCTGAAATATTGCACATAATGGACAAATTCCTTGAACCAGGTAACTATGACAACTATAATTGTTCTGGAGAAGTCTACTTGTTGAGTTAACGAATATGTCGAAATGTACATATTAAAAAGAATAATGCTCTTCAACGATTGCCAGATGCCTTCATATCACACATAAATATGTGCAGCCTGGTGAGTACATAAGGGCTTGACATAAACACAAAGACACCTTGTTGGCATGGAGACTAGGATTTGAGTTCTGGTGCTATCAAATTTACCTGTCTTGTCATTAGCCATGTCACAGATGTGTGCCAAGTACCTAAATAGGGATAAGTTGCTTGCTGTAGGTAATTAAGCATTAGCATGTCTGTGGCATGGCATCACACAATTTCAATGCAATTTGTACAATTTTAATGATAGTGTAGCTCATGGGTCGTCAACCTGGTCCCTACCGCCCACTAGTGGGTATTTCAGGATTCCAGGTGGGCGGTAAGGATTTTCTAATTTTGACAGATCGGGCAGGCAGGCGCGACTGGGTACCGCCATCACCACATGTGGCCCCGGCCCGCGCGGCAAACCGCCGGGGCCGCATATGGAGGGGTCCATCGGGTGACCCATGCTGTCAGGGCCACCCGATGGATGTGGATTGTAAGGGAGCCCAGTCAGCGCTGGGCGCTTTAACAGTGCAACTGGTCCCCTGTGATTACATCACACGCTGGGAGGAAGTGACTGCACGTCACTCCTCCCAGCTAACACACAGACCACGCGGGAGGAAGCTGTCAGAGTGGGAACTCTGACTCCCATCCACCTGAGCCACCACTGAACCCCACGGAAAGTCTCCCTTTATTTATTTATTGTTTTATCGTTTATTGTTTTCTCATTAAACTTTATAAAAAGTTCAAAACATTATAAACATGCATTAAGTAGAAATAAAAAGATAAATGTACGTACATTTATTTTTTTAAAACACCCCCCTTTCTAAAAACTATTCCGCACTTGGCGAAAACTGGTGGGCGGTAAGGAATTTTTTTCAACCAAAAAGATGCATTAGTGGGCGGTAGGTAGAAAAAGGTTGACTACCACTGGTGTAGATGGTCTTGTTGGAATAGCACTGAAATGAGAATATATGCAGCCTTTATTCACATCTCACAGAAAGCACTGTTATAGTAGGCTATTAAAATACAAAAGTATAACATATTAAGTATTGTGTAGCCGTGGCTCTGAATTTGTGGCTGTGCCTACTGCAGACAAGAAAATTGCAGCATCAGCACTCCCACCACACAGGTACATAAAGTGCAGACGCTGGGATCTACTTGTTTGTAGCAGGGTTAAATAAAAAAAAAAAAAAAAAAAACATCCCTGCTCATTTTTACAGGTTCCTGAATTAGAACACCATCCAATTTTAGACCCATAAACCAACTGTTAAACTTGCAGGGACACTAAGCAACAAAACAACTTTCATGAGATTTTGGCTTTATTAATATGCAGTATTATGCTCAAATCTACCATTTTTGCACAAAAAAAGGACTTCCTTTCCAAAATGCATTCCGACAGCTTAGACACTGAACTACAAAGCAACCTGTGGGAGAAGTAGAGGACATCCAGGGACACATACAGTAAGGATATTGATACCTGTCTATAGTTTCTATGAATATCTGCAGCCAGGCTGTGAATTAAAACCAGCTCACTCATGGATGTTGGGACTGAGACTGAGCATACATTTGATAAGGAAGTCTTTTCTGGCATGAGGTGCATGGCTAAGGCGGCAGGCTAATGGTGCAGAATTCTGCAAAAAATATATTTGTGCAAAAAAAAAAAAATGATAAACATACAAGAATATAAAAATATAGCATATTAATAAGGTCAAAACCCATAAAATAAATTAAAGTTGTATTGGTGCCCAGATTGTCCCTTTAATGAAAATGTTCTCTCCGTTTTATAGAGCAAGTTATTCTTTTTGAATTGGAAACTATATCTTAATGCTAACTAGAATACGTTTTTCTGTGACTACTAAGATAAGACCATCAAGCAAAGCATATTGCAGTACCTCAAAACTGACAAACTACTACTCTTACACAGAATACAATGATGGTCAGTCAACCTACGGAAGTAAAGCCGAAACTAATCACATAACCATTACATTCGTTGCAATTGTATTTAAAAACTGTAGTCTTTGTTATGACTTAAAGGAGCACTATAGTGCCAGGAAAACAAACTCGTTTCCTGGCACTATAGGGTTATTAGGTCCCCCCACCCTCAGTGCCCACATCCCGCTGGGCTGAATGGGTTAAAACCCCTTCAGTCACTTACCTTTCTACAGCGCCGGGCTCCCTCTGTGCTGGGGAACTCTCCACCCCTCGCCGACATCAGATCCGAATGCGCATGTGCGGCAAGAGCCGCGCGCATTCAAACAGCCCATAGAAAGCATTACTCAATGCTTTCCTATGGACGTCAAGCGTCTTCTCACTGATTTTCACGCTGAGAATTGTGGAAGCGCCTCTAGCGGCAGTCAGTGAGACAGCCACTAGAGGCTGGATTAACTCTCAGTGATTAACTCTCTATGTTTTCAGCTGCAGGGTTAAAACCTGGGGGACCTGGCACCCAGATCACTTCATTGAAAAATCAAAGGGTTTCTTGTTTTTTTTTATTTTAAGAAATACTTGACATCACATAACATTTTCTCTCTTTTAGTGTGGGACATTTAAAGTTAGCCATATGAAATTCAGAACCTGTGTCAGCATATACATAGTACTTTGATAAAGACTGATGGTCGAAACGCGTTAGTGCTCTTTATATGTTATTTTGTGTACCACACCTTTTTTTAAGATTGTTATCTGTTTTTATTGGAGTAAAATATTTTTTATCCTCATTCAATCCTTGTTTGGCATTCATTCTTTATGCATTGGGGAGAGGACAACAGATGCATCAGGAAGATCGTGTGTATAGCATGAAAAAGCTGATTTTTCAAAAGTGATTACAGCTAGAGCCTGCTATCTTACCGCTGATACATATATATCTATGCACATAAAGTATTATGCCATTATTAGTATATGCCGTTATATTTTTCAGATTAATTTCAAGACTCACGGTTACCAAATATAAGTATTTGTTTTTCTCTAACTTGCACCCCCCACATTGTGTATTGTAGTTATATACATAGTAAAATCATTCAATTTGTTTAATATAAATGGACAGGGTGGTAATCTACATATATATATTAAAAAATAAATCAAATCATAAAAAACAAAGAAGGATTTTCATTTTTACAGCAGGTTTGCATTTATGTGAAATCATGTATAAAGAAAGATTCCAGGCACCATAACAACATTAGAATGAAGTTTTAGTGCCATGAGCGTGGCTCCGTCTTACCTTTAGGCATTTAAACCGTTCATTACCAGTTTAACGGCGAAGTCAGCCAACAGAGGTATGTATTCAGCCAGTGTAAACATTGCCAAATCGTAAATCCAGTACCAGTTAGTTCTGCCCCTGGCGGCCTTCTTTTTTCCGATTCATGAAAGGGGAAGCTTCAGACAAGAAACGCCTCTGGCTGAGAGCCGACGCTCTGAGCCAATCAGAGGCGACCCTTGTCTGAGCCTTCCTCTTTCAACAATTGAAGATAAGCGGAAGGGCAGGGGCAGAACTAACTGTGTTGGATTTATGACAATGTTTACACAGCTTGAAAACACACCTATAGTGGCTGCCAACCAGACAGTCACTTCTGCCTTCAAATTCTTTCAGTGTGAAAGATCTTCAAGCTCGATGGCTTTGAACTGGTTGAAAGTAATCAAGCTTGAAAACTTCAAAGTAGTTGGGGATCAGCTGCAGTTTCAGCAATAGAATACAATGAATAGCTTTTTCAAAACACACACACTATATATATATATATATATATATATATATATATATATATATATATATATATATAAAAAAAACAAAAAACACAACATTGCATTCACAGCATTGCATTTTACTAACTGCACATGGATCACAATAATCCAAAGAAACCAATTATGCATACCGTTAGTGGATCCCAACTTTTTGGGGGCAAAGACATCTACCGTATATACTCAGGGCCGGTGCAAAGAATTTTGGGTACATAGGCGAAGATGCATTTTTCCTCCCCCCCCCAAAAAACATATTCGCCCATGTGCCTCTTAACCTCCCTTTTGTGTTTCTTATCCCGTCTTTTAAATATCTGACTCCCTTTAGTGTATTTTATCTCCTATTTTTGTCTTTGTGTGTCTCCTATCTCTCCTCTTTGTGTCTTTTATTCTTCCCAGCTGCTTTGTGTGTCTCTTTCCTTCTCAAGCCCCGCTGTGTGCTTCTTTTACATCCAGCCCCTCTCCCTGTCCCTTAATGGTCCCCTCCCTTCTCTGACCCTTACTGTTCCTCTCCCTTCTCTCCTCCTTTCCCTGTTCCTCAGTGTTCCTTTCCCTTCCCCCCTCCTTTCCCTGTCCCTTAGTGTTCCTCTCCCCTCCCCCCTCTGTTCCCTGTCGCTTAGTGTTCCTCTCCCCCCTCCCTCCTTTTCCTGTACCTTAGGGTATCTCTCCCCTCTTCTCCATGTCCCTTGGTGCGCCACCCACCCCCATAGTGGTCCCCTCCCCTTCCTGGTGTGCCTCCTACCTTTCTTGTAGCGTGGCTGAGCGGAGCGAATCCCGGTACAGTGAGCTTTTCCTGTCAGTCCTGCTAGGTACAGGAAACAGAAGTTCCTGTACCACGGTACACTCCGCTTGGCCACGCTACAGTCAGGGGTGTAGAAACACTGACAGTCACACACACTCAATGACAAACACACAGACATCTCTGACAGCCAGACTCACTTATCTGACACTCATTCATTGACAGACACACAAACACTGACAGACTCATTGACAAACACACACACACACAAACTCACAGACACTGACAGACACATGTACTCACATGCACACATGCACATACTGACAGACACACTCACTCACACACACACACACACTGACAGAACCACACACACACACACATACATACACACACACTGACAGACACACACACACACACACACACACACACACACACACACACACACACACACACACACACACACACACACACACACACACACACACACACACACACTGACAGACACACTCACACACACACTGACAGACACACTCACTCACATACTGACAGACACACTCACTCACTGACAGACACACACACACTGACTGACAGACACACACACACTGACAGACACACACACACAGACTCACACACACACACACACTGACAGACACACACACACACACACACTGACAGACACACACACACACACACACACTGACAGACACACTCACACACACACACACACTGACAGACACACATACACACACACACACACACTGACAGACACACTCACACACACACTGACAGACACACTCACTCACATACTGACAGACACACTCACTCACAGACACACACACACACTGACACACATGACAGACACACACACACACACACACACACACTGACTGACAGACAGACACTCACACACTGACAGACACACATACACACACACACACTGACAGACACACTCACTCACATGACAGACACACTCACTCACACACTGACAGACACACATACACACACACTGACTGACACACACTGACAGACACACACACTGACAGACACACTCACACACTGACAGACACACAGACACACACACACTGACAGACACACACTGACAGACACACACACACTGACAGACACACTCACTCACATGCACACACACACTAACAGTAATTAATCATCTAAATTAAATTAAAATTTCCCACCCAGCCTCCCTACCTGGAGAGCTGGCGTGGGTCTCTCATTGGTGGTCCAGTGGGGCTGCTGGGAGGCGTGCGGCTGAACTGGATGCCGAGGTGGCGAGGGAGCTCTGATCTCTCTGATCTGCTCCCTCGCAGGCTGCTTACTGATGCCGCGGGAGCCGGAATATGACGTCATCAGTAAGCAGCCTGCGAGGGAGCAGATCAGAGAGATCAGAGCTCCCTCGCCACCTCGGCATCCAGTTCAGCCGCACGCCGCGCCGGGGATCCAGGAGGTGACCTGGCAGGAGGGAGCACTTCCCTCCTGCCGGTCACTGGAATTTTGCGCCCCCAGAGCCGGTGCGCCCTAAGGCGGCCGCCTGTGCCGCCTTATGGACGCGCCGGCCCTGTATATACTCGAGTATAAGACGAGTTTTTCAGCACATTTTTTGTGCTGAAAAACCCCCACTCGTTTTATACTCGAGTCAATGTCTGTATTATGGCAACTTACATTGCCATAATACAGACCAGGACCGCCAGGCTCATTACAAGCCCGGCAGTCCTGTTGGGGGCTGGCAGAGAGCTGTAACTTACCTTTCCTGCAGCTCCTGTCAGCTCCCCTGTAAGTCTCGCGAGAGCCGCGGCGTCAGAGCGTTGCCACGGGTTACCGTGGCAAAGCGGCACGCAGACCGCAAGACTTACAATGGAGCTGACCGGCACAGAGGAGAAGGGAGCTGACGCGAGCTGCAGGAAAGGTAAGTAACAGCTTCCTGCCAGCCCCCTCCTACACAGCCCATGCCACTGGACCACTGGGAAATACAAATTCAAATAATATAATAAAATAAAAATGTAATAATATTAAAATCAAAACATTATTAAAAACAACAAAATGTAATATTAAAATAAAAAAATAAAAAATGCCCACCCCCACCAAGGGTACACACTCTGCAACACATACACACACTGCGCTCATACACACACACTGCATTCATTATATACACAAAATAAATATTCAATTAATGTAATTTTTTGGGGATCTAATTTTATTTAGAAATTTACCAGTAGCTGCTGCATTTCCCACCCTAGTCTTATACTCAAGTCAATAAGTTTTCCCAGTTTTTTGGGGTGAAATTAGGGATCTCGATTTATACTCAAGTATATACGGTATTTGTTTTCCCAATGTTCGAGTATTGAGTCAAATGTCACATTTGTTTTAATTACCAAAACTGCAATCACTTTCTAACATATGTTTAAGGGCCATATTCAACCTATTACAGCTTTGAAGTCAATGTGATTATAGGACCCTTTAAGGTGACATGAGTCACATCAATGTGCCACAGAACACTGGTTGAAAAAAATAACATTTTGTGGTTCAGCAATTTAAAAATATTCTATTGGTTTTTCGCAGCCAAAACAAGTCTTGCAACAACTTTCACAAAGGGCAGTCCTGTGCATTCATTGCTGGCAAACAGCATATCATTTTATTTTTGGGAGTCTAACGCTGTTCTATCACAAACACACTTTCTGTTATTATTCTATACAGACAAGTGATTGGCAATCTTGTCACCCCAGCTGTTGTGGTCTAGGCTTCCCTAAACGCTCAGGAAACCATATGGCCAGCAATACAAGCAGTGCCAAAGGATAGAAAGCACTGTCTGTATAAAGCATAGGTCTGTCAACAGGTCTATATAGAGAGCTGGCTAGCCAGCACCAATCTATATAAATAGCCCACAAAAAGAAAAAAAAAGCCTGCACCAAACCATATAAAAACCCTGCCACTGGTATTGTGAAAAACTTGCTTATATGTACAACTAACTAACCGGTCTCTAGGGAATCCACACACTGGCCAAAGAGCACTGCTGAGCTAGGTCATGCAGGATTACTTTAGGGTTTTAATAAGCTTTAGGGTTAGTGGGTCCACTGCAGCACAAGGAGCTCAGAAATTAGGGGTTAAGCCGATTGTTAAAATTATGGTTAGGTAGGGAGTTTAAATTTGGACATTTGTAACAACTAGCAAGTACAATAATGCATTGTGTTAATTTTAGTATTAAATTTAGTGTTGAGGTTAGACTAAATTAAAGGGACACTATAGCCCCCAAAACAACTTTAGTTTAATGAAGCAGTTTTGGTGTATAGACCATGCCTCTGCAGGCTCACTGGTCAATTCTCTGACACTTAGGAGTTAATCACTTTGTTTATGCAGCCCAAAGCACCACCATGCAAGTGACTTACACAGGCTTCCTAAACACTTCCTGTAAAGAATAATCTAATGTTTACACTTCCTTTATTGCAAGTTCTATTTAATTTAGAATGTCTTATATTGTGCTCTGTTAATAGCTAACCCTGCAGTAGCCCCCTGTGTGCAATTAAAGTTCAATTTACAGAGGAGATAAAAACTTCTCAAGTCAGTTACATCTGATTAAAAATTCAGCCATTTTTTTCCATGCAGGCTGTGTCCATCACAGCCAGGGGAGGTGTGGCTATGGCTGCATGAATAGAAACAAAAGAGATTTAACTCCTAAACGGCAGATAATTGACCAGTAACACTTCAGGGGCATGATCTATACAGAAAAACTGCTTAATTAAGCTACAGTTTATTTGGTGACTATGTTGTTCCTTTAAAATTGCCTCGGTCAACGGTGCCGATTATACAGCACCAATCTACATTGCTAGCCTTTTCCCATCACTGGTTTGCATACTAGGTTAGATTGCACTAATCCAGGGATAGGCAACTTTCAGCACTACATTTGTTTTGGACAACACCTCCCATGATGCTTTGCTAGCATTGTGGGAGATGTGGTCCACAGCATCTGGAGTGCGGAAGGTTGCCTACCCCTGCACTAATCTATCATCTATATTGACAACCTATGACCAGCACTTGCAGATATATAGTACTAGACTTCTCGCACCGGTCTACCTAGCGGTCCCAGGTTAGCCAGCGGTCACAGATTAGCCAGCGCCGGTCTATACAGCGGTCACAGATTAGCCAGCGCCGGTCTATACAGCGGTCACAGATTAGCCAGCGCCGGTCTATACAGCGGTCACAGATTAGCCAGCGCCGGTCTATACAGCGGTCACAGATTAGCCAGCGCCGGTCTATACAGCGGTCACAGATTAGCCAGCGCCGGTCTATACAGCGGTCACAGATTAGCCAGCGCCGGTCTATACAGCGGTCACAGATTAGCCAGCGCCGGTCTATACAGCGGTCACAGATTAGCCCGCGCCGGTCTATACAGCGGTCACAGATTAGCCAGCGCCGGTCTATACAGCGGTCACAGATTAGCCAGCGCCGGTCTATACAGCGGTCACAGATTAGCCCGCGCCGGTCTATACAGCGGTCACAGATTAGCCCGCGCCGGTCTATACAGCGGTCACAGATTAGCGCGCGCCGGTCTATACAGCGGTCACAGATTAGCCCGCGCCGGTCTATACAGCGGTCACAGATTAGCCCGCGCCGGTCTATACAGCGGTCACAGATTAGCCAGCGCCGGTCTATACAGCGGTCACAGATTAGCCAGCGCCGGTCTATACAGCGGTCACAGATTAGCCAGCGCCGGTCTATACAGCGGTCACAGATTAGCCAGCGCCGGTCTATACAGCGGTCACAGATTAGCCAGCACTCTCTATAAGCTGGCATTGTCTAGCCAGCAGCAATTTATATCGATACCCAGTTACCATCACTATTGATCTACATATTGCGCTGTTTGGCTAGCAGCAGTCTATACAGAGGGGGCAATGCCTGGGCTAGCAGGTTTGCCATGGAGTAACCATTACTGATAACCAGCCCACTGAGAGCTGCATAGTTACCTTTGGGGGAGCTGGGGCTTTTCCTCTCCGGGGAGCTCCTCTGCTGCCAGCCAGTCCTTCCCACGGTAGTGAGAGCCACAGGGGACGGGGAGGAGGAGGAGGATGGAGCCCCGGGGATGGGGGGCTCGGCTCCCGGGGATGTGGAGGTGGGGGAGCCCTGCTGCTGGCTGTGGTGGTGGTGGTGATGGTGGTGGTGATGGTGCGAGTGGTGGTGGTGATGGTGGTGGTGACCCCGGGTGGGGGACGCCCCGGTCTGGGTGGACACGGTGGGGCTCCCCCGGGAGCTGCTCAGGGCCGGGGGGGATTCGTTGCTGCCCCTGGTGGGGCTGGTGCTGCGGGACGAGGTGCGCTGGGAGGCCCCGTTGTTGTTGTTGTTGCCGCTCCTCGTGGGGCTGCCGTGCGGCTTGAGCTGGAAGGGCACGGTGGCCCTCATGGGCTGCAGGCGGCTCCCGGGGGCCCCGGCCGCCCCATTCACCGGGTTTAACGGCGGCGGGGGGGACCCGCTCCTCCTCACCCTCTGCTGGGACATCTTCCCTTCCCCCGGCTATCACACAGTCTCTGACAGAGCGCACACCGCGGGCTGGGAGCTCGGTACCGGAGCCTCATGGGAGGAAGGAGGGGGGGCGGGGGGGAGAACCGAGCTGGGGAGCGCGTGCACACCGTCTCCGCCGCCGAATACTGCACCTGTGGGCGCGCGCGGCAGCTGTGACTAGAAAAAGCCCACAGCACAAACACCCTGCGCTGCCAGCGGCCCCGCCCCCTGCCACTCTCCGGCCGCGCTCACTGGACAAAACCCGCTCTACCAATCGCCTCACTGCTTTCCACAAGGCACACAAGGCAACGGGAGCTGATTGGTCGAACGGCGTCTCCTAGACGTTCGGCAGCCAATGAGGCTCCGGCTTCACCTTTTTTTTTTTTCTTTCTTTCCCCGGCGAGGGGGCAAGGAGGGGGATAGAGACAGTGAGTGGGCGGGATAGAGCGCCGCTATCCAGTCACCTGCCAGAGGTTGCTGCTGGACGGCCAGGGGGGTTGGATCAGTTGGCAGCGACTCTATCGTCACGGCTGTAGTAACAAGAGAAAGCCTGGGGCATCAGTCTGCAGAGGGGGAGGAGGGGCCAAGCATTACCACATCTGTGTGGCTGGGCGTATAGAGCCTAGTACACATCAACATGGAGGGATTCCATAATAAAATACCCTTACACCAGCCAGAAAATAAAAATAATATATATAGAGAGAGATCTCATTATTGTTATATAGACAGCTATAGTCTGAAAGTAAAAACACAACATGGAATTTACATTATTTCACCCCAAATTACCCACATCTACAAGCTAGAATATATTTATTATTATTATTGGTATTTATATAGCGTCAACCTATTCCGCAGCGCTTTACAATATTATAAATGTGGGAAATGTAGTAAAAGAGACAATTACAAAATATCACAGGAACAATAGATTGACGAGGACCCGGCTCAAACGAGCTTACAGTCTGGAAAATACAATCATTTAAAATAAAATGTTCTAATTTCTATCTATCTATCTTGTTTTTTTTTTTTTTTATGAAGATAAAAATATATATAAAATGGAGTTTGGGAAAAAGATGAGTTCATGGAATGCAATCTGTAACACCTTTCTATGTCTGAAATAAATTCAGTGTAAAGAGGAGAAATAGCTGTTTCAAGCTTCAAAAGGTGACATTAACCCCTATCTGTTATGACTCCATAATTGTAAATCTGAATTCAATCAATGTCAGCATGCCGGCAATATATACATTCCTTATGGGATCCTGCCCTGATTTATTAGAGCGTTCGCAGGCTGTATGGATAATGCACCTTCTATGCTTAATATACACTGGACATTACATCATTGTTTATATAGGTATAGAGACTCCATCATACCATAGCAGATTTATAAAAAAAAAAAATGACCCAACATATATATATATATATATATATATATATATATATCCTTGTCTTTGTTAGGAGTGTCTGGTGCATTAGATAAGCTCAGTTTTCTTTCTTAAGTATTGTGAGATACAGCACCAATTGGGGGTGGGGGATGCATATGTTTGTACTGCAGCGAAATCTTGGAGGAGAAAGGAGCAAGCTTTATGGATGTATTTACATTGATCTATATAGTGTATTTCTACCAGAAAATACCCATGCCAGCTATACTTTTTCTGTATGATAGGTTTGGTTCAGGAACTGTTGGGGATTCTGGTTTTGGAACTCTTAAGCTTAAAACTGGTAATAATAACAATTATAAAAAAAATATACATATAGCAATTTTCTCCTAATTGCACTGAAATAATTTCACCTTTTGATATTACAATATAGAATCTATTTTTAAGAAGTGCACTGGTGGGTGTTAATTAAGAAAATGATAGGTTCTTTTTTAGTCTCTTATGTTGCCACTGAAAGCGGTTTTACCGATGGGTACTGATTTTTTTTTTTACTCTTTCTCGACATCTGGAGTTCATTCCACTTACCAGTGCTAAATCAGTGCTAGATAGAAAACAAGGTTGTAATTATGAAAATGTATCTCCATACATGCCAACAGTATTTCCTTACATTACTTGTCCTTGTGTTGTTTTGAAACACATGCTCTTTATTCACTTGCTATGTGACAAATGTTTCTGGACACTGCTTTCTGGTTTAATTATTATTATTCCTCCCCTTCCCTCCCAGCATCAATCTCATGGTGAGTCTTCTCATGGAAAAGGGTTACTCCAAGTACCATGACCACTTTAGTGCCTAGATGTTCTCTTTAATTTTAACCTCTCCTTCGCCCCACGTGTCCAGTCAATTACCAGATCCTGCTGCTTTCATCTCAAAAACATAGCACGTATCCGCCGCTATTTAACGCCGGACGCAGCCTCTCTCGCCTTGACTACTGCAATTCGCTTCTCAGTGGTCTCATGTGTTCCCAACTTGACCTGTTATAGTCTATAATGAATGCAGCAGCGAGATGCATCTTCCTGTCCGCCCGCACCTATCAAATCTCCCCCTCTGTTAGTCCCTGCATTGATTTCCCATTAGATATAGGGCTCCTATACTCTCTACATAAAATATCGACATAATGCTGCTCCAACCTATCTATCCTCCCTAATACACAAGTATGTCCCGTCTAGGCCGAAGTCCTACGTCTATCCTCTGTCCGTACTCCCACCTCTGATGCCCGCCTTCAAGACTTCTTTAGGGCTGCACTGTTCCTGTGGAACTCCCTTCCCTTTTCACTTCAGCGAGCTGTAATGCGAGTAATCCTTTAACACATTTGTTCTCTCAATGCCATGGTGTAGCACCAAAGATTCTATTCACCAATACCAGGAATTTCCAAAATATGGTGCCCTTATGTAGTTCTGGTTACCTTCCTAGTTACTTGGAGTATTTCTTGCTGTTTCCGATTTTTCTTGTGCCCACTCTTGGCATGTATATTGACTTTGTTGGCATAAGCTGGACATTCTTGGAAGATCTTATCTGTGATACATTTTGAACTTTAAAGTGTTGTTCAAGGCAGGGCCATCTTTAATGCGGGGCAAACGGGGCAGTTGCCCCGGGCCCAGTTGCTCCTGGGGGGCCTAGAGCAGCTGCTCCGTGGGCCCCGCGATTTGCGCACCCCCTATGGACCGGGCGTTGCGGCTCCTGCACACTGAGGAGGCTCCCCGGGTGTCTCATGCACTAAGGGCCACCCGGTTGGGCGCTGTGGCGCTTAAACAGCGCGACCGGGCCCCTTCCTGTTCTGCAACCGGCTGGGAGGAAGTGACGTCACTTCCTCCCATCGGAGATAATGGGCGCGCGGGAGGAGGAAGGCAGGGAGGAGGGGAGTTCCAGAGGACTAGGGAAACCACCCTCCTGGTAAAGGTAAGAACCTGGAGGGTGGCTAAATGTATGTCAGTAGGTCTGTGTGTGTGTATGTGTATGTCAGTGTGTGTGTCAGTATGTCTGTGTGTGTGTCAGCATGTCTGTGTGTGTGTGTGTCAGTATGTCTGCCAGTATATATTTGTGTGTCAGTGTATGTGTGTGTCAGTATGTATCTGTGAATGTTTTAAATGTGTGTGTCAGTATGTATCTGTGAATGTTTTAATGTCTGTCTGTGTGTGTATGTGCCAGTACGTCTGTGTGTGTGTGTGTGTCAACATGTCTGTGTGTGTGTGTATGTATGTCTGTGTGTGTATGTGTGTGTCAGTAGGCCTGTGTGTGTCAGTATGTCTGTCAGTGTATGTGTCTGTGTGTGTATGTATGTATGTGTGTGTGTTTGTGTCAGTATGTCTGCCAGTATATATTTGTGTGTCAGTGTATGTGTGTGTCAGTATGTATCTGTGAATGTTTTAAATGTGTGTGTCAGTATCTGTGAATGTTTTAATGTCTGTCCGTGTGTATGTGCCAGTACATCTGTCTGTGTGTATGTCAGTATGTCTGTGTGTGTGTTTCAGCATGTCTGTGTGTGTCAGTATGTCTGTGTGTGTATGTAAGTATGTCTGTGTGTGTGTGTATGTGTGTGTCAGTAGGCCTGTGTGTGTGTCATATGTCTGTCAGTGTATGTGTCTGTGTGTGTATGTATGTATGTCTGTGTGTATATATTTGTGTGTCAGTGACTGTGTGTGTCAGTATGTATCTGTGAATGTTTTAATGTCTGTCTGTGTGTTTCAGTGCCAGTACGTCTGTCAGTGTGATTGCGGGTTGGGCGTAATTGGGGTGTGAGGCGGCGGGAGGGGCAGGGCCCAGGGGGCCCAAGAAAATGCATTGCCCAGGGTCCTAATCATATTATAGACGGCCCTGGTTCAAGGGACACTTTAGGCACCAGAACCAATACAGCTTAAAGGAAGATTCCAAACACATGAAGCACTTTCTGAAGTGCTTTTTGCGTAGAGTGTGTCCTCTTATTTTTTTTCTTTTATTTTTTTTATTCTTTATTCAGAAGACAAATCATAAACAGACGGCAAACATCATGGCATGTCTCATATAGAAGCAAACACATAAAAAGTAATAACATAATTTAACAAAACCAATTTTCCATTTTATAAAAAGTGCATGTCAGTAGAAATTTACACTTTTTAAAATTAACTTTATTACTACCCCCTGGCTGTCAATCATACAACTGTTCAACTTCCTGGTTTGTTTAGCTCAATGGAGCTAAACTCAAGAGGCAGACAATTGCACAGAGCACCTACCTTGCAAAGACTTCTCATTGAGCTGCACTGGGAACTCTATGATTAACCCCTTAACGCCGAGTGACGGACGAGGTCCGTCACAGAGGGGAGACCCTTAATGACGAGTGATGGACCTTGTCCGTCACGCGGTAAAATTAACCCTGGATCGTCGCTATCGTGGCGATCGCGAGGTTAATGGTGCTCCGGTATGCCTCTGCATTGGAGACATACCGGGAGCACCCAGTCAGGCTGCCCAGCACATGTGCTCGCTCTGACCGCAAG